TATTTGACAAAACGCCGGATCGGTATTTATCCAACGCTTAAAAAATAACACGGAGAACGTTTTAGTTGGATGAATAAATTTTCGTTACTTTCCGCTTGCGGTTTTCGATCGTTAGTGGCGATTCAGGACAAAGAGAGGAGAGCGAGAAAGAGAGAGAAACGTCTTGCCAGGATTTCTGCAGGTCCATTTCGACAGATTCGGTATTAAAATATTAGACGTAGAAAAAGTAAGAATGAAAAATTTTTTATATTAGTTAGTACAGAAAGTCCGACGTACTTTTGTCAAATAGAGATGAGTAAAATTTTCGACAAGTTAGGACTAGGATAGAGAAAACGTAAATCTTTTGCGACGATGGAATTAAACAGCAATATAAATTTTGATTTACGATATTAATCGATATTCGATTTCCTGTTCTGATTTACCTTTTCATTTCTCTATAACAGAAGAAAAAATTAATACGAATCGTTCGTTTATATATCCGAGTTAATTTGTTGAATAAATTAGAGGGGCAAGTACCTGAAAAATGAGAACGAATTGTCATTGCACTTGGACAATCTTCTGACACTGATTTATGGTATTGATCGATATTCGATTTTCGGTACTGATTTACTTTTCATTTCTCTACAAGAAAAAAATGGATGCGACTCGTTCATTTATCCGCGTTAATTTGATGAATAAATTAAATATTGATCGGTCTTCAATTTTCGTACTGATTCTCTCTATTTCTTTATAAGATAAGAAAAATTGATACGAATCATTCGTTTATTCGAGTTAATTTGTTGAGTAAATTAGATGGATAAATACCTGAAAAATGAGAACAAATTGTCATTGTACTTGGACAATTTTCTGACACTGATTTACGATATTGATCGATATTCGATTTTCGGTACTGATTTAATCTTTCATTTCTCTATAAGAAAAAAATTCATACGAATCGTTCATTTATCCGCGTTAATTGATGAATAAATTAAATATTGATCAGTCTTCAATTTTCGGTACTGACTGATTCTCTAATTTCTTTATAATAGAATAAAAATTGATACGAAACGTTCTTTTATCCGACTTAATTTGTTGTAAATTAGTGGGGTAAGTACATGCAAGATGAAAACAACTTGTCATTGCATTGGACAATTTTCTTGACATTTTTTAATGATATTGATCAGTCTTCAGTTTTCGGTACTGATTTATTTTCTCATTTTTTTATCAGACAAGAAAAATTGATACGAATCGTTCGTTTATCTGAGTTTATCTGAGTATCTTTGTTGAATAGGATTAGAGGGGTATGTACCTGAAAAATAAGAACAAATTGTCATGGCACTTGGACAATTTTCTGACACTGATTTATGATATTAATCAATATTCAATTTTCGGTACTGATTTACTTTTTCATTGTACAATAAGAAAGAAAAAATTGATACGAATCGTTCATTTATCTGCGTTAATTTGATGAATAAATTAAATATTGATCGTGCACGATGGGGGGAGAGGGAGAGAGATGGGTATAGGTGATAGAATGATACTAGGAGAGGGGGATGAGAGAGGGGGAGGAGTGGAGGGGGCGAGAAGGAGGAGGAGGAGGTATAAAGGGATGAGAGAGAGAGGGGGGGAGAGGGGGAGAGAGAGAGAAGGAGAGAGAGAGAGGAGAGGAGAAGGGGAGAGAGAAAGGAGAAGAAGAGAGAAGTATCGATTTTCGATACTGATTTACTCTTTTATATGCTCTTATGAAGAGAAAGAAAAAATTGATTACGAATCGTTATTATTCGCGATTTTTTTTTCCTTTATTATATATAAGTGTCCATAGGACGATTAAATATTCGAATACATGTTGGCCGTATCAAAGTCTCCTCTATAATAAACGATTTGATACGTCTGAAGACGGCATGGATGTATCGTTGCCCGCATCGCATTCCCTTCTTCCTGCTTCCCTGTATAAAATGTCGAATTGAAACGTATTAAAAAGTATTGACATTTTGAATATGTCTGAATTCTGAATCTTTTTGACCCGAAGAAAAGGATTGAAAAGTATTAGTTTCCATTAAATTTTACTGCGCTAAATGCGAGACGGTCTCTTTCGCCCGGTGCCTCACCAGAGAAATTTCTCTGGTGCGCTAAATCCCGTCCATCAGCCATCAGTCTTTGTAGTATATCTCGTCGGTGCATAAGGTTTATATTATTTGTACATACATATTTTGAAACATTTTCTTTGGATATTATATCAAACGGATTTTGCGTGTCACGTAATATCCTTAATTCGGACTACACGGACATTATTATTTTGATCATTTTGATTTCTTTGGTATTCATTGAATTATCCAGGACGTGCAACTGCCATGTTGAGCGACTCAATTGTCGTGTGAAATATTTCGATTTTCACAAATTCATATAAAATTTTTCATTTTTCACTGATTCACAGAAGTCTTTCACTTTTTACTAGTTCACGCTAGGGAAAAGATTCATGATCGATGCCCGAGCAGCTGCAACGCTTTTCGAATCATCTATGTCGGCGCGCTTTTACTCCTCAGATTTCTGTCATTAATAACTCGATAATTATGCGAATCTCGCAAAATGGTGTGGGACTTTTTATGTTTGTCTTAACCCAATCTACCCTTACACTTCGGGTTGGCAGTTAATTACCGGACACTTCGTATGATCTTCATGATATTAATCATACACAATGTCAATTCTTTTTTTTGCACATGTTAATATGTTAATTCATTTATAAACGCGTAACAAAGTGCGAGACCGTGCTTGTCAAGTACGTCATGGTTACGTACGTTATGGTTGTAGCTTGGACATAAACCGCCTAAAAATGGATGTAGCACGGACTGCCACCACATACAGGTTTTACTGCCGAAACCTGAAAGTGGATGTAGCCTCGTAGTTATCCTCTCAAAATGGATGCAGATGGCGCCCTTTCCCAGTGCGGAAATTCGGTCGAAAACACTGTGTTAGCCGTTCTTAGGTTCCTATTTGGAATAAGTGATTTATAGTAAATTTGAGAAACAAACATGTCTTTAGCAGACGAGCTTCTTGCTGATCTTGAAGAAAATGATGACTCTGACGTTCCTATGGAAGAACCGGAGCCGAAGTTTATCCCGACTTCGGTATCCAAAGTCATAGAAGAAGGTTAGGTTTAAGATATTTCACAATTTTATTTTACATTTTATCAAGAGAAATTAATTATCAATGTTACACATTCAAAATAAAATTTTATAGTTCGTTATTTCTCCTTGCAGAAATAAAAGTAGCCTCTGTGCGAGAGTTAGCTAAGTTACGAGACTCAGAACAGTTGCAGAAAGTGATATCACAGATTGAAAAGTACAGCAAAGTACCCAGAAAGTCAGCCGATATTATAGGACCTGTAGAATCAGATCCAGAATATCAGTTGATAGTTGAAGCTAATAATATGGCTGTAGACATTGATGATGAAATAGGTAAGTAACTGTAGTTGATTATGTATATACTTTTCCTTTATGAACTAATAAATACTAACTGATATTTTTCAGCTACTATTCATAGATTTACAAGAGATAAGTATTCAAAAAGGTTCCCAGAATTGGAATCTTTGGTAGTAGGACCATTAGAATATGTAATGACCGTTAGGGAATTGGGCAATGATTTGGACAGGGCAAAAAATAATGAGATTTTGCAACAGTTTCTTACACAGGCAACAATTATGGTAGTATCTGTGACTGCATCAACAACTCAAGGGTAATTTTCAAATATTAATCTTTATAATTATTGTATATAAATATTTGTGTATGAGTATATGTAAATATATAAATTTTACTTCTACCATTATATATATATCTGTACATTTATATTATAGCCAGTTGCTGACAGAAGAAGAAAAGGAAGCTATTTGTGAAGCATGTGACATGGCAGTAGAATTGAATAATTGTAAATTAAAGATATTTGAATATGTAGAAAGTAGAATGGCATTTATTGCACCAAATCTGTCGATAATTGTCGGTGCATCGACGGCTGCTAAGATTATGGGTATGTAAAATTATATCACACGAATTGAAATACAAAATTTTATTGTATGATATTTTTTTTATTCAGGTGTCGCAGGTGGTCTGACAAAACTTTCCAAGATGCCAGCGTGTAATGTTCTAGTCCTGGGATCCCAGAAAACCACACTCTCTGGATTTTCGCAAGTCACCACTCTGCCTCATACAGGCTTCATATACTATTCTGATATTGTACAAGAGACACCTCCTGTAAGATTATCTTTTGTATAATAAGTATAACGAAGAAATCCTAAAAACTAACATAACGACGTTGCAGGATTTGCGGCCGGAAAGCGGCAAGACTGGTAGCTGCTAAAAGCATGTTGGCAGCCAGAGTGGATGCCTGCCATGAGAGCACGGACGGCCACGTCGGACAGATGCTGCGCGAGGAGATTGAGAAGAAGCTGGACAAGTTGCAGGAGCCACCGCCCGTGAAGTTCGTGAAGCCGCTGCCGAAGCCAATCGACCCTGGCCGGAAGAAACGTGGTGGCAAAACGCGTCCGTAAGATGAAGGAACGTTATGCGATTACGGAATTCAGGAAACACGCCAACAGGATGAATTTCGCGGACGTAAGTTATTGCAACGTACAATCATGTACATTAAATTCTTTGCATTTTGCGATATTTAACAATGGCTAAGAGACACGTTTGTTTAACTGCAGATCGAGAATGACGCTTATCAAGAGGACCTGGGCTACTCGCGAGGTACAATCGGCCAAGGCCGGCACGGGGCGAATCAGGTTACCACAGATCGACGAGAAGACGAAGGTCAGAATATCAAAGACATTGCAGAAGAATCTGCAGAAGCAGCAGCAATGGGGAGGCAGTACCACCGTCAAGAAACAAGTCTCTGGCACCGCCTCCAGTGTAGCTTTTACTCCTTTACAGGTTCATATCTATGATTCTTTAAACAGTAATTATGTAATGTAAAATGTAACTAAGATAACACGTTCAAAACTTTATTTTTATTATGACGACTTGCAGGGTCTCGAAATTGTCAATCCACAAGCTGCGGAGAAAAAGGTGAACGAGGCAAACGCAAAATACTTCTCCAATACAGCCGGTTTCCTGAAAGTCAAGAAAACGTAGAGAAGAAATGTCTAATGTAAAAATAAGCAAGAGGAAATCATTGTGTATTTATTATCCTGACTATATGAATTTAGGTACTCAGTTATCTTTTTTATTCTTAGCGCGCGTGCGCGTGTAGTTTTTAATTATTTATATTAGTCTGGTAAAAACAAGCGTGGAGGAAACGGATGAGATGTGTGAAAAGAGAGATAGGTAATTACGAAAGGAACGTATGTTGATATAATTCCACGTCCTGTTCTTTAATCATCTTCAATAAATATCTCGACGTTGTCATCGACCACTTCGTTCGTTTCCTTCAAAACGGGTTTGATCATCGACTCGTACCACTCTGTTTCTGCCTTCGCCAAGCACCGACGTCTACGAGTAAACGCGTTATTAAAGATTGATTAAAAGAAGAACGAATAAGATGATTATTAATTTGTCTTGATGCTCACATATTACTGTAGTTATCCCGCGGTTTTCTCGTGGGATTCCAACCAGACACTGGCTTCTCATTGGCTAACATCAAGCCGCGAATGCAGTACAGAAGCGCAACTTTACCTAAGTTACGATCCTGTAGAAAAATTGAAAATTCAAGAGGACATTTAAAGCAGCAAATTCGACGTTCCAATTAAACTCACCCGCCATTCGGAATTCAAAACGTCACCTAAGCTTAAGATATCAGAGGCCATCGTGGCTTCCTCTATAGTTCTTATAGTGTTCAGATAATTTTCTTGAAGAAATTGAACGAATATCACCGCTTGCGACTGGAAGAAGCCGGTTATCTCTTCGGGATCATGTGCAAACTTGCACGGATTATCTGGGTCCCCTAGAATTACAAGTTGCAGTCGATTCACAAAAAGTAAAAAAATACAATTCGATCTGCAAGTCGAAGTGTAAAATTGAATTACTTTTTGGATTAATGACCCTTCCGACGCCATGCAGCAAACCCAAGGTTTCCTCCCGTACTCCACACTCGTTCTTCGACCATCGTTCAGGCACTAACAACCGTAAAAATAATGCCGAGAAGTTCTCTGAGGTTGATCGTTTTAATTTATAAGGAATATACCTCTGAGAGAAATAAAAATAAGATTTAACATGGCACTGCGTACATCGCCGATACTATTGGACAACGTCTCGTCGATGTGCTGCTGGGAAATATGCAGCATGTCGCTGGCGATGGAGTTCAGTATACCGGACACGCGTTTCATCACGTTTTTCATCGCCGTCTGTGTGACCGCGTTCACGCTACACCGATAAATCATAATTACGATTGAAATTATATGTACATGTGAAATTATATATAGTAGATTGATAATCTTTAATTACCAAGTCCACCAAGAAGGATGACGATTTACTCACTTAATGAAATCAATACCAAACTTTTCTCTTATAGTTGGAGCAAACAAGGTCTGCACCAGCCTTGAGTTACTAGCCTCCGTGCACACGAATATTATAGGCTCCCTACCTATTTGGAAATATTTTCTACAAGAAGATACTCGTCAAAAATGTCACAAACTCTGAAAAAGTTTAAATAGCTGCGTTAAATGATTTATATAAAATATTACTTACTCCAGAAGTGAGAAGAAACTTTTGTGGTCCTCTTGATAGACATTTGGAAGGTCTTTAATGAGAAGTAACTGCTTGGAACACGTACCGAGTACTGTGTGATACCGTGTCGCGCGAATTAAATGGTCCTCAAACCGGTCTCCTTGTCGCATCACGCGTTCTAAGATTTAAGACTTTACTAAATAAAACTCATTCAATATTACTTTCTATCTTGTACTAAACAATGTAGTATTTATTGTTATTACTGTTTTCATCCTCAACTGGATCAAGTGGGGTAATCCATTCGATGATGTCGAATTTATGTTCCTGAGCAAGCAGTTTTATAGCTGCTGTTTTGCCACAACCAGAAGGACCAGAAAGGACTAGCATGGAAGGCTGTGCCTTCGAAGTTCTATACCGAAGCCAAACAGAAATTTCATTTTGCTTTTGCTTGCTGATTGCCAAGTCAGAGAGCTTACGTGGCTCACACGCTTCAAGCAGTTTAGATAAACTGGTCTCATGTCTCCGTTGAGATTTATTTTGCGTAAATGACCTGTCCAATATATCATTCTCTAATGCTACTGAACTAGTACGCTTTACCACAGGCTTATTTATGACGGCACTGTCGAATGATGGCACACACCAGCTATTTTTCTAACAAGAAAATAATCGGGAAACAATTATATTAAAATATAATGTATAAAATACTTAATATCATTAATATTCACACAGGATATGACAATGCAAGCTAAAGCTAATTCAGTTAATTAAAATAACATATAATTTACAAATCACAAAATAATATTCACATACAAAACAATAATATAAACTTATTTTCATGTATAAATTGGTCATCTTTATTTTATTTACCAACCCTATATATAATAAATATAATAAATATAATAAATCAGAATTAATTATTGAGTTTTTATGAATATTGTTTTTTCAAAAAAACATTTATTGTTTTAAATGAAATGTTTGTTGGCCATTACGTCTTATATGTTACGTTAGTTTGTATTATGTTAATTTAGGTTATGTTACGATATATCCATAGAATTCTCAAAATGATTTTTATACATATATATTTTTTATATGTTAACGTACTTTTGAACATGCCATGATTCTTCTTGATAAATCGTCACATTGTAATAAAATTTTACACTTTTTTATAAATTTGATCGTTCTCTTCTTTAATCTTACTTATCCTTGTGCCAGGATTTTGAGTGTAATGATATACGTCAAAATCGTATATATACTAATATATTTTTTTTTTAACAAAAATAAGATTATAACTCATAAGTTTAAAAATAAGTTTTGAAAATAACAAAATATTTATAATATTGCGCGTAAGAAAAGTTATTAACATTTTTTAAATATTTTTATATAGTTAATTTTATTTTTAAATAATTTTTTTTCCATTTTTTGTTTTTGCCTATTTGCCCTTTCGATAATTTTAATCAGGGAGAGAAATATATCAGCATTCTCATATTAATAAAGTTGTTTAAAACAATAATGTAAACTTATTTTCATGTATAAATTGGTCATCTTTATTTTATTTACCAACCCTATGCATGATGTAAAAATATTATTGTCTTTGATTCAACATCTCTGTTATAAGATATAGCTTTTAATACAATGCAAAATCTTAAACTTAAAATATACATAAATAAGTATTAGTTGTCACAGTGATATATAATTTACATATAATTATTTATCTATTTCATTGTAAAATCGGTGATGAAATGAATCGATACTCCCGATTAATTCAATTTTTAAACAAAGATCAAATATTTAATATAGCATCAATAGTGCTAGTCAATATGTAATTGCTATAATGCAATTATGATCAAGTGAACAATGACTGAATATGGATTGATATTTATTAATCATATCTTCTTTCTAATTCTTACTGTGTTTTTATCTTGAATTCTGTTTTCCAATATATTTAATTTCAACACTTCAACAGTTTGAACACTTTCTCTTCGATATAGTTTTGAATGTAGCTGATAATCCAAGAGAGAACTTATTTTTAATAAATTTCAGAACTTCTTTCATCGAACTATTAGTTATGTACTGAATTACATTGGAGAAAAAATATTCAAACCGTTTTGAAATTTAATATATTAACGCTTTTACCGCTCGTTATTCGACCCTATTTGTTTACGTTCGGATTATCTTTTCTCTGAATATCAAATGGCACATACATATCAAAATGACTGTGGTATTTTTCGCATGTATCGCATATTTGAGTCTGACAGTAAAAGGGATGAATCATATACTAAATTGAATCACATAACTATTATTTTATGTTTACTTTTCCAATGTAAAAGTTTATGATGGTAGAAATTTATACAGGATCCGGCATGGATTTAATTTTTCTCATTTTTTTTCACTTATTACTTTTCCTCACATTTTTAGAAAAACTCATTTTTCTCACTTTTTCTAACTCTGGGCTTCTTGATTCCTCGCATGAGTACGATTCAGTTATTAGAAAAAGTGAGAAAAGTGAATTTTTTCCAAAAAAATGAGAAAAAGTATTAAGGGGTCAGGGGTAGTCAGAATTTTCAAAAAATCGATTTTTTTGCATTTTCTTGAAGTATGATGTCTTGAAAATATTACCTGAAAATTTCAAGTCAATCCAACGAATAGTTTTTGAGATATCCTACATTTACTGAAGGGCTTTCTGACCCTCGACGGCAGGTAGCTGGCAGCAGCTGCAAATAACCGGTTTCAACCGGCATAAAGGATTAGGGGTAGTAGTCAGAGGCGTGAAAAAATGAATATTTTAAATAATTTATTTTTGACAGTAAATTTATTTTATAAAACTAATAATACAGAGTTATTATTTATGTTTTAACTTTACTTGACTGAATGATTTTTTTTGTTTCATTGATTTTAGATGAACCAGTAAAATGTTCTGATGGTCACCGCAAAACACTACTTGTGGAACGGCATCCAACAAAGATGGCGATAACTTCATCTACAATTAATATTTTTTTTTTGAAATTTTGGTCAAGTAGAGTTAAAACATAATATAATAACTCTGTATTATTAGTTTTATAAAATAAATTTAATTACTGTCAAAAATAAATTATTTAAAATACTCATTTTTTCACGCCTCTGACTACCCCTAACCCCTTAAATGAAAAAAAAGTGAGAAAAATAAATCGAATCTATGTTTGTTTATATTGCAAGATTAAAAATAAAATGCGGATACTGCTTAACATTGCTGTAAATTTCTCAAACATCACATAAAATGTAATCGCAATATGTTGATATGTATGTTAATTATACATTCATGAATTAATAGTGCCTAGAATATAATCAACATAATTATCTTTAAACGAAACATGAAACTTGGAGAAAGAGCCTCGTACATGAAATTCAATGATCACGGAATTCTCCTACAGTATTGAACAACACGATAACAATTATTTATACACCGCGATTATGCTATTTTTGTAAAAAAATAATATATTCATCATATAAGCCTTTATTTAGTTTCATGCATTATGAGCAAGAAATAGTAAACTACAATGAGAAGTAGCACTTGAATGAAGTCTTTTATGTAATTGTATCATCGTCAAAGCTTATGGCGTCGCGATATTACCAGGACTAACTCGGTACTTCGCTCATCGTTTTAAAAGATTGCGAGAAAATCACATGTTAGAAAATAAGTTAAGCTGATTTGTCTTATCGTTCAAGTAAAAAACTTATTAATTTCATTTAAAAAAATATTGAACTTTTTTCGTAAGAGCAACAAAATTAAAAACACATTACATATATTTTTTATACAAATTTATACATCTTCTGTCTAATATAAAATCAAGTTTTCTAAACAAATTTTTGATATTAAACCATATTTAAACAATTAACTATACATAATGATCGAAATGTACGACTAGGTGTAGGAATTGCGAAAGGGATTACGTGAATAATGCCAGTACTGATTATCGCGCGATAATTCAACTATAGTTCTTTCATCCACTAGGATGAAAAGTCAAGTGGCTTCGTGAAACGTGTGATTACTGTCGATCGACCTGGCGTTCTGACAAATTGAATTGAATTCAATTTTCAGATTTTGACGGAAATTGTGCTTCTCTATGCCTCGAGTTACTGCTCAGCTCCAGACGTCACTGGAATATCGTTTCTGTGAGTCCATCTTTTTAATATAATCCATAGCATCGAGTTCTGACATGTTTCCTCGTTCCATCACCACCTTGAGTAATATATTATGCACGTCGCGCGCCATATTTCTCGCATCTCTGAAGAGAAGATAAAAATATTTTAGAAACGAAGAAATGGAATTCGAAAAATGATTATATATTGCAGCGGAAAGATCATAAATTGCGACTAACCCGCAAATGTAAATGTGTCCGTTTTGTTCGCCGATCACTCGCCATATTTCTTCCTTGTTCTTCTCGAGCAAGTGTGTGACGTAAACTTTCTGAGGTTGTTCTCGGCTAAAGGCAGTGTGTAACGTTAACGTTCCGTTCTCTACATATTGTGCCAACTCATCGTGATATAGAAAATCTTCCTTGCTTCTTCTGCAGCCGAAGTAGAGTATCGTGTCGCCTACTTCTTTACCTGAGGAAGTAGACATTGAGGACATTGGTGTTTCGCATCACAAAATCAAGAACGTCGTAGCGTGAGATAATGAAAATCTATACATTTTTTTTACATGCCTCGCATATTATGTAATCAGTTTCTTACCTTCCTTCCTCGCCAAGTCGCGTTCTTGTATGAAGCCTCTGAATGGTGCTAAACCAGTGCCTGGTCCGACCATAATGATAGGAGTGGAGGTACGTATGGGCAAACGGAATTGAGACTTCCTTACAAAGATCGGGACGAGGCAAGGTGGATCGGAGGGATGTTTTTCCTTTAACCAGCTGGTCGTGACGCCCTTGTTTATCCTACCAGTCGGAGTCTTGTACTCTACTACCACTGCCGTGATGTGGATCGAGGTCGGATGAAGCTACGAGGTGAGAATTGTTGTTTTCATAAAGTCTAGTCGAGACGATCATTTTCTGAGGGAAATCTCATTTTCAGATTCAGCTAAGTACCTTCGGGGATGAGGATATGGAGTAGTATCGGCATTGTAATCGCGGCAGGATTTCGCAGAGATGATCCAAAGGTGGCTTCAAGCTGGGAATGTCCTCCAGGATATGCACGATATTGCGATTCTCTTGAACTATCCACTGTTGATAAGCTGCCTTGCCTTCTACAGTGGTGGACGCCATCAATTTGAGTTTCTCCTTGTCCGTGGGTTCAGTAGCATACTCGGCCAATTCCTTGAGGATATGTGTACGTGGGTTGCTAGTGATGTCCAAATAATGTGTCAACGCTGTCCTGTAGCTGCAAGGACAAGGGAACGGATGCTTCTTCGAAGACTCCTCTGCCAAGGAAGCGGCGAATTAGTCGAAGGCAAAACAGTAAACGGATAATAACGGTAACAAAGCAAACTTACCGTCCGTATTTGTAAGGGTGATGACAGTGTCCAAGTCGACGTCACACTGTTCGCCGATTTTATTAACCAGTTCCGCATTGTTAACAGGATAAACAGCCAGATGATCGCCAGTATCGTAACGCATTTTGGAGCCTTCGATGTCGAACTCGATGTGCATACAGGATCTCTCAGATGTCGGGCCGTGCAGCTCGCGATTGACCTTAACTGGAGCCAAGAAAGGATTCTTCGCGTCGAACGGCCTACAGACGGAACAAAGGTATGCTGAAAAATGTGAAGGAACATCGTCTGATGTATTCGACGTGGATGAGTGGCAACTTACGCTCTTTGGTTTTGGAAGGAATGTAGACGAGCTATCTCTCCATTGTAAATTCGATCAGCTGGTAAATCCACGTGTTCCGTGAGTTTGTATTGCCTGATGCTGACATCTTCACCAGCTCCCTCAATGCCGAAGAATTCGCAGACGGCTGGCCAAAACTTATCTTTCCATGTGATGAAATCATCTTCGATACTGCAACAACAAACATGAGTTATTGTGAAATCTCATAAATCAAGAGTGAGTAAAACAATAACAGTTTATTTACAAGAATTAAGTGACAAGAACACATATTGAAACAAGATAAAATTAATTCGCGAGAACTTACTTAGCATCGTCGTCTCCGAGACCCAGTTCGAATACACGTGTAGCACCCAGCTGCTCCAGTCTGTGATCCATATGTATGGCAACTTCGTTGTAATGCTCATAGGTCTTATTCCCAAGTCCGAACACCTAAAAATAAACAAAAATAGGCAAGTTGAGCAGACGTCAGTTCGCCATTTGAATTTCAAACGTTCGATATCTCGTACTCGAGTGATAAATCAAGTGATGACACCTCGCGATACCTCAAACGGCGGATGCAGCATGGCGCTATGCTGTGTCGACGTCGTTTTTACGTTAATGCAGTGCCGCTGCAAGAGCAGGAGACGGAGCAGTCGGTCGCATGTTTTGATATTCATGCTTTTACGTCATACATCGTTATGACGTGAATCAACAAAGAAATCAAGCACTCAACTCATTGAATACTTGTCGGCCGACCTTGTGTCACCATACATATCTTCATTTCTTGTCCCGCAACCTTGATTTTGCACATAATCCCCTTGCGTGAACATCGTGCGTGACTGCTCCGACTCGGCCTTATATAATGCTCGGCCAGTAGCGTAACAAAAGAGGGGGGAAGGAAGAAGGTAATCCCAAAGTCTACGACCTCTGGCACAAAAATAAGCAAAAAAGGGAAGTAGGAAGAGACGAGTGGAATAAAAATAGAAAGGATGGAATATTTTAACCGCTGATAAATCATAGATGACCAATGGCTGCGTTCAGAAAACACAACGGTTACACAACGGTTGAGTAATTCGTCAACGTTATTGGTCTGAATGTAAGGATCTAACAGTAAGGACCAATAGTTACTAAGCGCTCAGTGAGCGCTTTGTTTTCTGAACGCAACCAATGAATCGATCTTGAAGGCTTAGCATTTTTTCTTCCTCGAAGAAAAAGAAAAATATAAACGTACCCGCCGTTATCATTGTGTCGAAGATTACGAAGATAAAATTAAAGACGAGAGGTAAGATAATGGAGTAAGATCGAGCAGCACGTCCCGTAACGAATAATGGCTGCGTTCAGAAAACACACAACGGTTATACAACGGTTGAGTAATTCGTCAACGTCATTGGTCTGAATGTAAGGATCTAACAGTAAGGACCAATAGTTACTAAGCGCTCAGTGAGCGCTTTGTTTTCTGAACGTAACCTATGACGTTCACATACCGCGTAGTTTAGCCCGGAGAGATCGCTATCGCCGTTCTTCAGCCAGTCGACAAATTCCATCGCATTGTCCGTAGGATCGCCCTCTCCGTATGTCGCCATGCAGAATACCGCTAAACTGTTCGGGATAGTTTTCAGATGCACCAGCTCCTCCTGCCAATCGAGAGAACATTTGTCTTTTCTTGCATCTCGTTTTCACCGTTGTGTGAGTTTTCTGCGTTCTTGTTTTCCGTTAATGCTATGACTCGAAGCAACGTATCGAAAGATTAAGGGCAAGAGCACAGGCTTTTGCATAACACATAATACATAACGCATAAGAGAATAAACTAATAAGTTTTCTTCATTTTCCTCCTCAGGACAGAAATGAAGAACTCTGATTGGTTGATTCTCTTATGCGTTGTGTATTATGCGTTATGCAGAAGTCTGTGCTCTGGCCCTTACTCTTACAGCTAATGTAAACGAGTCTTTACAGCTATTGTAAACGAGCCTTTAGTGTTTAGTCGAGTTAAAATATTCTTCTTTCAAATCAATAATGCAATAATTTAAAAACTCATACCATATCGCATTCCTCAGGATCGGCTACCATGCCTTTCATCTTGTACCTGATGCCCTCTTTAGCGAGACGACTAGCAAATTCTTCGGCGGTACCTGTCTGGCTGCCATAAAATACCACCAAACTACGCCCAGAGGACTTGAGCTTTTTTATGAAGGAGTTCTCGGAAGGTGGCGTCGCCACGAAAGATGTCGGTCTACAATCGGAGGAAAATAAGAGAGACGCTTAATAATAGGTTTTAATTAGCGATATTAGCGACATTAGACTTTAATTAGCGATAGATAAACTTCCGAAATTACTCATGCCTAATTGATAAAATTTGCTACTGAAAGTATTCGAACAACATCATGTATTGCTGTTTAAAATTAGGTAAAAACAGTGTCGGATGTAGGTAAATAAATGTATGATCACAGTATGTAGATTTATTTGAGAAAGTGGTGTAATGTCATCAGCAACATATAACTTTATTTGGACTTTTCCAGCATTTTTCTTTTCCAACTTTTTTGTCAATGAAGATCCATTTAATAGCCATTAAAAAAAAATTCATTTGAGATCTCTGAGCTATCTTCATCAAAATTCATGGCAATAGGGCGTGGGTGATGTCATCAGTAACATGTAACTTTATTTGAACTTTTCCAGCATTAAATTTTTTTGTCAGTTAAAATCCATTTAAAAACATTCACTTGAGATCATCTGAGATATCTTCACTAAAATTCATGGCAATAGAGCGTGGGTGATTTTCGGAGGTTCACCCATATCGATAAATTGCTTCTTCACGTGGAAAATCTAATTAAATAATGAATAATTAGTAATTAGTAATTACTGGATGGAGTAAGATTTCGGGCCGGGTATGTTGTGATCTTCTTGCCTACTTCTTCTCCATATAGAGTACCATGCTGCAACCGCAATCAGTAGGCCGAGCAGTAGAAAGTCCAAAGAACTTAACATACTGAGTATGCTCTGGTCGTCTTCTTCCAATCCACTCTCGTTCTCCAACACCGGCGATCCCGCCATTCTTATGGCCTTGGGTTGCGATGCGTCCACTGTCTGCAACAAACCCCCGTGCGAAGGCACAATTGATTATCATACATGGGGTGCTGTTAAGGAAATTTTCCTCCGTCGCAAAACTCGAGCTGTCGAAGTGACGTCTCACACGACGAATCTTAAAGTGAAATCTAACACGATTCTTCTTTTTATCTTTACAGACGTCAAATGCTACAACTCACGGCAATAAGAATTTCTTTGCATTAACGCTTCGGAATATTCGTCACAATAATCGTGATTTATAACATCAGAAACAAGAAAATCTACCCAGAAGCCTTAATGTACATATCGCACGAATTTGCATGACATGGACGTGAGTGTTAAAAAATCTCCAGAGTCATCTGAAATTTTTTGTTCTGTCTGCACGTGCAACGTACGAGTGCGAGACTCGCAAAAAGAAAAAGAAACATACGATGTTTTTATGTGATAACAAAGTTGTATAAATCACAAATGATATTGAAAAGTGCTTTTTCCCAGCTGTCAAACGCGTCATGATCTAACGCGTAATTTCTTTTTATCTTGCATATGTCTCGCATATGTCACAATTTAACGCCACGAATGGGCGCTTATCGCTGTAAATGAACGGCTGTTTAATTCACAATGTTTTCATCGTGAAAATGATATTCTACATATGAAATTTCGGTATTACACAATCGATAAATATTGGTTCATCTTCTGTTTGTCGAACATCGTTCTCGTTTGTTTGTTATGTTCTTGATAGATAAGATATCAGTCATTTTTACAACTATCCACTTTTTCGTAGGAACGTTCGTCCTTTTTCCTAAGTCACGGCCATCGTCTGAGTACCAAATATAAACACTCATCCGTTGCGAGAAAATCGTCATGTGAGATGGACCACCTCGAAACGAATAATGTTAGTATCCATAATCGAAGTAGTGGAACGACAATTGATAACCAGAGTTATCGTGAAATGGTGGCAAAGAGATTAAATAGACGTAGTTCAATGCAACACGTCACGACAATTGTATATAAGATATCGTTTCCCTCGTGATGACTACGGCCGAGACAATTTATGAGTTTATGCGCATTGAGAATGTTGATAACGAGCGCGTCTTTGACATCGTCGCCCTCGGGCGGCTCCCGTCTCAATTCTTAAATCGAGTTGAACCGTGAAAGTCATGCTTACGCATGTTGATAGCAGGTGATATTGTCTAGATTACTCATTGCACTAGCGTGTAAATTCCAAATGACAATGCAAATTCTACACGGTCATTCTACATTGCTCGCATTCGTTTTGATAAAAATTTCCGCGCAGACATTTGACATGTTACTTTGTCTCTGATTTTAATGTCACTGCGACGCAAAAATACCTATTACAGCGGTGCGGTTGTTATGGAAACAGTTCTTCGAAGAGTTTCATGAAAAGAGGGACTTCAATAATTGCGTCAATTAATAGATTATGTCACCGGGGCAATTAACAATTTTACATAATAGTTCAAGCGAGTTACATTCCTAATTGTTATTTTGTACGTCCGAGAACGTTAATCAGATGTTTCGGACGATAAATCATTGGAGGAAAAAAGAACGATAAACGATTGTTGGAGGAAAAAACAAAGACCAAGCTCTTTATCTGTGCTAACATTCGTCACAACTCCTCGCTCATTTTTCCGCGAACCTTATCACGTATTTATTTAACACTTAACGTTGCACGCCACATCTGCCAATAATATAATTATAATACTGATGATACGTAATTAAGAACAGCAAAACATATCATGATTCGATTCTGTTTACTATTTTGCAAATTTTTTCATGTATTACCTCACGCGACGAACTTGGCAGGTACATCAAGATTGCGCAGCTTCACGATAAAATAGCAAGTTGATTGTGCAGTCAGAACGTTGATAAACGCCGACTTTCCGATATATGCGTTTGCATATACATGCAACTAAATTGCGAATTGCATAATTATTATAAAACAGATAATAATCGATTTGGCAGATAAACATCTCTGTCTGAATCTGTCTCGCGAACTTCGATCATAAGATATTATATCTTGAGCTGCTGATAACGTTACAAATTGATTTCTTGTGACGTGATGATGAAGATTTAATGTATCGATATGAGAATCAAAGATCAGATATACCAAGATGGAATAATTTATATGTATCTTGTTCTTAATTAATTGTTCTTAATTAACATATTTATAACAAAATTTTGACATCTATATACATATACACACACGTACACATTCATGGTTGATGAAAATAAAATGTAAAGAGCTGAAAAGAAGTTTTATCTGCGAAATCTCATTTCTTTCACGGCGATAGTAGTTTTTAAATCGTTATAACATCATTCGTGACTTACAAACACAAGTGTAGAAAAGGAAATTTCTTGCTAAATATTTCTTTACTTCTCATCGCTACATTTTATTTTCTTCACGTCAACAAGTAAATCTTTATTATTACAATCGTAGATGATCGAAAATATCTTCGATTTTATTATTTGAGATCTTATTCAATTATTACATTATATTTTATTATTTCGCTTGAAAAGTGCAATAACGAAGATATTTTTATTCGCGTATGATTTTGACGAAATTATCCGTCGTCGCGAAAGAAACGAAACGCAACAAAGAGGCAAAAGTTTTTTTATTATTTTTGTGTTTCCTCTTTTCTGTATTTTGCTTATTTTGCAATTATAAATGATGTCAAAGATATATCGACACATTGTACATTAATCTACATGTTGACAGCACTTAATAATTTAAAAAAAATTATTTGCTTCAACGTCGAGCTCTCGTTCTTCGTTGAACGTTACTAAAATGTCATTGTGCCCATTTCAATATATAATTTATAAAAAGAACTTGAAAGTTGACTACTTCATAAATCATTCAAGTTTAAGTGCTAGAAGGTTATCAGTAACATTCAAGCCATATTAAAAATGATAAAATATAACGTCAAACAGACGTTTGCATCGATTGAATAATCGCAGTTGCCGCAGTTACGCATTGATATCGTTAATATCTTCTCTAAAGTGACTCTCTAATCATTCCGCGCCATTCTCGTCAGCATTTAACTCGCGTACCGCTCTATTTCGCAATTGCTTTTTAATCCTTTAACTGCTGAGATATTAAATGACCAGTATAACCCTCTTTGCTGAGTTATTTTTACAATTATAAAATATTTTATAATGATAAGAGATGACACTATATGCTCGCTCAATTCAAATGCTTCTTATAAACTAAATTAAATGGGTATTACACATTGAAAGTCCAAATCGAGTAAACTTGATCGTAGTAAGGCCGCCAATTTTTTCCACTCGAGTTATCTCGACCGTAGCAGTTAAAGGGTTAATCCGCATCGTTGTCATTATGTTATTAGCTTACCGGCAAATCCATCTTACGAGTGCGAAGCTGAGCGAATTGCGAGTGCAGATTCTATGATGTGCGAAGGGAGCGTCGTACGGGAAGTCGTCTCGAACGAAATTCGTGACGTTTGCCGAACTCGCAGCGAAGTGCGCGACTAATAACCAACCACGTGCGATGAGGATAGATCGTAGCCACAAGTTCTCTTCACGACAACCGACGTGGAACTGACGCTCAACCGCGCTGTCGACTATTGATGTGCGCGTGCTCGTGCGATCATATCGACGTCGAAAAAGCAAGTCATCATGTTCACGCTGTCGTGAACACTCGCTTTTCACGTGCGGGGTGTCTGCGAAGTCTGCGTCACGTATCGAAATTATAAGATAAAGTCGAGTAGAATGCTGTCGAATTTTCAAAGATAGAGAGATTTCTAAACGACACGTGCTATTCAATATATCAATGCTATTGTTCGATAGGAACTCCGATAGGGAATTTCTGAAATTTCTTTCTTTGAAAAAGGTATACAAAGGTATTCGGGGACAGACCGTGTACATACCTGACTGCGAGCGTTGGTGTCCCATTAGACATAATGGGTGACGTAAGTCGAAAAGCGCTAAGCACGCGAGCGACGTAATGGTTGGCGCATTCTCATCATATAATTATTACGAGACAGTCGTATTGCTCGGAGCTCTAATTATGTGCACACACGATACCTTCACATCGGTAATCTCGAACTTCGATGGAAATATTTAATCAAGTGTACCCGTAAATATATTAGTCACTTATTGACGGCTTCTTTACTTCGCATGTTATTGCACGTTCGCGGAATAAAGTTCGCTCGCGTTACGCGATAGCAATAGACGCACATTACTGGATCCGACGATCTCCCTGCAAATCGACGGTCGCAGATATGCGACATGCGTGTACAGCTAACCGCGGGAATCGCATGATGTGTGTATGTAGCAGGTAGCTCGAAGGCGGAAAGTGAAAGCCAATAAAAGGAGAGACAAAGTGAAAAGACACTTCGCAGTGACTCCTCACGGATACATTGACGTTGCACAATCGGCCGTCGTTATCAGTTACGTATAGCGAAATTGTATACGTGGTTCATGTAGCCAACGATTTTGATGACTTTCTACGCTCGTTAGCACGTTCGTTATCGAACTTTATTCGGAGAACTCTTTATTTTTATGTAATCGTGGCTGTCGAAAAGCTCTGTCACTGTTACATATAAATTATGTAATGTTGAGTAATAATGGATGTGGATGTACCTGTCTATCTAATTGTGTGAAAGGAACTTGATCTGTTTGTGTAAATGCAGAAAGAAAAATCGCTATCACACATATGTGACATTGATAACAAATGCGTTAGGTGGAATTGGAAATTTTAAGCAAAGATAAAATGAGATTCTTCAAATAAGAGACAAACTTATTATTCATGGATCGCATCTTTTTATGAGGAAAATTTGAAGACAAAATATAAAAGACGATCATAAAGATGAGTAGACTCAGACATATTATCTTCGCTTAGTTGTCGTACAGTAAAAATAAAGTTAAATAAACATCGAATGCCTGCGTAATGTAGATTCTTCTTTTCTGATGTAAATTTATCTGATGTAATTTTTTACAGCGGCTTCTTGTGAAACGACAACTCAGTCTATGTACATAAGTACATAGTGAAATATCTGTGCGTGACACGTGTAACACTGCAAACATATTTAGTTTGTGAACATATTAATCTCTATAGAATGCAACAACACACTTATATAAACAAAGTATCCGCCACTTGATTGTAGAGTGATAATGATCGCGTCAGTCACGTCCATTATAACGGCGATAAATAGATAAACAATTGAAATATTTCATGTATTATAAATGATCTCGAAAATCCTAATTGTGCGACATATCCGGAAGAACAATAGTCGCGCATAGTGCGTGTTCGCAGTTCGCAATTTCGCTCAGGTTCCTTTAAACAGCAGAAACGTTAATGACGAACGAAACCGCGATACTATGTTGTCTCTTCGCATGATGTTGTACGAATTTTTTAATATTCTCGAGGGAGAAATGTATTAAATTGTAATATAACTTACGTCGCAATCAGGTACAATTATGCTATTTTAATTCTTAAGTAGGCGTACTGGCAAAATCACACAAGTGGGCGCATAATAAGTGAGCAGTTTGACAATTGGTTTATTAGTTTAACAAAAAACAAAAAAGTTCTCTTTTAGTTAACAAAAAATAAATATTTTCCTATATATACTGAAGAACCACTTAATCATTCTGTTCTAACCACGTACGCCTATTTAAATATCAATGTTACTGCGATATGCATAATGCAATATGCGATTTCTTTTTCTACAGTTGCATAAACAAATTCAAATTAAAAATATTGAAGGCTGAATTTAAAATTAAATAAAACTAAAATAAAGAAGAACACTGGGAGAAAAATAATGAGGTAAAAGACTAGTAAAAGACTGATAAGTAAAGACGATAAAAGTTAAAAATTTATATTCGTGCGTACAAATTTAGATTGCCGTGCCTTCATGAAATTATTACATCCAGCTACTATTACATCGCAGTTATTTTACTTATTTATTTACCGAGTTCCTATTAGCTTTTCAAACTAACTCTGATTTGCAAAATTACATTACGATAGATATAATCTGATATGTAGCGAGTGTTAAGCTAATTCTATGAATGCGATTGTCAACAACACTGAATCGACATAATGATAAGTTCCAAGAATTTTATGTAAATTGTAGCGAGCGAACGAGTCTTAAAGTTGAAGTCCTCCCCGGGGGAAAGAGAGAAGATACGTAAAAGAATCAACATTGATGTATGTACATGCTGAATTCGAGGGACATTGTAATTCAGGAAAACAATTTATACGACAAAAATAAACAACCTCATAGGATTCGAAGCCGAGAAAGGGACGTTCTAACGTATTGCCCAAAGTGTTGCAAAATTAGGAATTCTGCCGGTCGTGAAACTGCTTGAAAGTTCAATGAATCAACGAAAATTGACTTGAAGGATGGACAAAAACAGCCACATGCACGTGCAAGATAAAAATTCATAAGGAATATTCATAAGCGAACGAATCGGGATAAGAATACAAACTTTTATATCTTGGCATATCACAATCGTGGCGACTTACAATTGAGAGTCCGAGAAAGGAAGAGAGAAAGAGAGAAGATAGCGGAATGTTTCCATACAATGCTGATCGTTCGGCACCTGATGTCGAACGAAGAAAGAGCTGCCCATTGAAACTCGCGCGAGCAGACTTTATCGTCACGCGTTCATTCAACACGGTGATGCGGTACCGAAATGTGAAAATCAACGGTGTTTCTTTAATAATGAAGATCACGGTACACGATGCGCAAGTAGAATATAATAAAAAAATTGCGAAGCAGAACATGCGCTCGACGAATTGAGAGCGTATGTCGTTGCCTGTTCGATCCATTCGATGCAAACCCAACTTTTTTTTTCACTTACCACAATATTATTCGACAGTCTGTGCGTGGCAACGAATCGCCGTTGAATAATGCACGCAGATCAAAGATCAAATCCGGGAACATCTTTTTACTTGGGCGAGTCTGACCATTCCTCTAGCCCGACGCGCCAGGGAGAGAAATCCGCCGGGCGATTTACTCGAGGAGAATCTCGCGAGTCCGCGAAGAATCGTCGCCACGCGCAGATCGAGAGGAAAAAAAGAAAAAGTCGGCTGGACTGAATCCGCGCTTCTCAATGTAGATCAAGGAATCAAGGACGCGCGATGCAAATTTCGATTTGACCCGTCCTCACTGGAAATTCACGTGCCAGAAATAAACCGAATGCAAATTCGCCGAAGTACAATTAGCGATTGACGTCAACGGTGTCGTCGCGGCGGTCTTTTGCTTTGTAAATTTTAGACGTTCGCGCGAAATCGATTAGATTCTGAGAGAGCTTCCCGTTCGAAGTAAAATGTTTCTCGGAAATTGACGCAAGTTTCTCGGCTCTTACCCACCTTTAGCCGCTTCAGTATCAGCTGCGATATCTCTCATTTTTCCCAACGGGAATGAGAGCCACGCGTACCAGATGCTCCGCGAAATGTCGAAGGCGATAACAATGGGAGCTGCGTCAAAGGTAATTTATCGTGGCAAAATTGATAACCTCGAGCTCGCCGAATAATCTCCGTATTCCCGGTAATTGATAGCGACGACAGATTGAACACTTTTATGGAGCTTTTCTTTGGAAAAAACACATATTGTGACTGTGACGCGTATAATTATCACGAATCTCATTTATCTTCAAGTGGACACGTAGTATAGTCAACCGTATGACCGATCATCTGATATATCGCTCTGATATAGCACATCCACTTTATTACATTATCTACGCTGCCGTTGCGAAATACTCAATCCTCTCTTACTCGCTCTTTTTCTCCCGTTGAAACAAAACACCGAATAGTTCGATCGATCGATTCGAAACTCGATTCAATTCCAGCTGCAAAACGTTTCGCTAATCTATGCGTTCTCCGCGATACGCGATTTTTTTCTAACTCATTATATAAACTTCTAACATTATGTAAAATATGATGTTACGTAAACTGCGGAAAAATAATGATATATCTTTCATCTTCATGAATGTTTCCCGGCGTTTCTCACAGTAATACTTTTGTAGAAAAAGCTCGAAAATATTCGCTCAACATCGATCAATGCTTTTTGCGCAAAGTCAAATTTATAATTATACTATCTCGCATATATATGTTTGTAAATTTCCATGCAAATTAAAAAATGCATTTCCTACAAAAATGATTCTAGGTTAAAAATGCACGTTTCAAATGAATAACCATACATTAGAATTATACAGCATTTTTTAATCTTCCTCTACAAAATTATACTTTTGCTGGTCACCAATAAGACCGCGGATTCTCAGTGCAGTAATATTTTCAAACATTTACCTCATTACAATATATTTATCGGGTTAGAACAAATTGGAATCGGTCACGTGATTCGCTTTCAACTCGTGATACATTTTCGTAAGAAAAAAGACAAAGAAAGAAATAAAGAGAATACTCGACTTCTCTATCGCCGATTCGCGTTCTTCCTACCCTCGCGAAAAGTTCTGCGAATTTTTCAAACTTGTACCGCGTGTTTCTGATGTCATCGGCTTAATAATCCTGCTCGCTTCCTATTTGTTTTCCGTTCGGTACCGTTCTACACGGCGGTAGCTACCCCTCCCTCTGCTAATTTATCGTCACCACCTGTCGGAATGCGGTTCGAAATTTACCTGTCAGATGCGAACCGGCGATCAACACCGGCTGAATATCGATGTTCGATCGGCGCTTGTTCAGCAGTTTGGCGTTACCCTTTCAGGACGACGATGAAACAGCCATATAACAAATTCGTCGTCACTACGCCGTCGTCGAGCGCGTGTTCACTGGCGAAATTGCGAGATTTTACGAACACATACACGACTTAACGAGATACGTGACCACGCGCCCAAGGGTCGGCTGAGGAAGCGTTTTTCCTTTTTCCGCCGCAAGGTGGACCTACGTGACGGCGTGCCATCAGGGGATATCGGCGCCATTGGCGTGCGAGAAAACGCACGAAATTCAAACGCACCCGCAACCCGACCGTAGATCGTCGTCGGGTTGCATAAGCTAAAATACGGCTCGTTGAGCTGTGGGTGCACTGAATTCTAATGGAGATAATCACGACGATGAACTACGTAGACGGAACTTTTGCCGACATGTTCGATAAAAGCCAGTTTAATGTTAGGATGAGCAAGGAAATTCTCTTGTCTCGTTGTAGCTTACATCTAAAATTGTCAGCTAAATGTCTGTAGCTTACATCTAAAATTGTCAGTTAAATGTCTATGATTATTAATTTTTTTGTTGTTTTTAGACAACAAATCACGTGGTTAAAAATTGCTTTTGAAATTCCGTCGGTTAATAGTTCGATTTATTTAATTGGCATTTAATTGGAATTTAAAGATTTTTTCCATTTTACTTTTAACAGATAAACGACTGGTTGCCAGCACGACTGGATTGTCAACGACTGGTTGACTCACAGCTATGTGATTCATCGAGAGTTGTCCTGCGCGGAATAACTTCCTGCTCGGAATAATATATTACAATTAATCGGTCACATTTGTTTTTCATCAACATAATTCACTTTCCAGGACTTTAGCCGTCACGTCACGCATCTAAGACACTTCGACGGCCTCCGTGCTTTAATCTCTGTTTCTCTCGATTGCTGTTTCAATGCTGAAAAAAGAACGGATTCGCTCACGAGACTGAATGATTTGTCGCGTCTCTAATATTTCAGTTCTTAAATCCCAGATCCTACTTACTTATCGTCGCAGAACCGATGTTTATCGGCTCCAATTTCATGCTCTGCATTTCTCGTAACGCCATCGCGTGAAAGGACAACGCTGCCACACGTGTGAACAATTCGGACACGCCGTTGCCTGTCCTTGACGAAATCGCCCAATATTCTGCCCGCATCCTTCTCGCCGTTTCTGCTGCCCGCTTTTCTATTATTTCATATACCGGTTGGGACTGTCATTTCCCAAGGATGTTAGAAGGCGACGAACTTAAAGAAGGAAGACAAACTGGAGGGATCAAGTCCCAAGCTTACCAATAAATCTTTCTTAGCGCCCACTAAGAAAATATGGTATGGGCTGACGTTACTGCGACTTGCCTCATTCAACCATTGCTGGCAATGTGCCAAGGACATCAAGTTTCCCAGATCAAAGACGATCATAATGACTGTGAGTAAAAAGATGTACACGTTGAGAAACTTATTAGATAATCAAATCATTAGCCTGTTTCAACTTGTAAATCTTATAAAACTTACAAATCTAACTCGTTTACGAATAAATTTATTGATTTGTAAACTTTGCTCGTAAGTTAATTCATGACTTTTTTAAGCGATAAAATAAGCTGTTGAGATGACTAACTTATTCAGTAACCAAGTAATATTGAATAATGTATGAAATGTAATGTTGAAAAATGTATGAATAATGTATGAAGTGATTGATATATGAAGACAAATAAAATTTAAAATAAATTTATAAATAAGCTAACATTTACTTTACCATTTGCACCGCGGTAATAAGATGCGGCTATGCATTTAAATCTTTCTTGCCCGGCGGTGTCCCATCTAAAAATTTTTTTTCATGTAATTATCGCACATGTGTGTATGTATGTATATCTGTGTGTTATAAAACGTATATCATTATTATATCATTAAATTGTTTATAAATTATTCTGGAATTAGTTCCATTACATTTGCAAGTGGAAAGGCACACCGAGGATATCGAATCTCTCGACTTCGAAGTCTACGCCGATAGTAGCCTTATAATTGTTATCAAACAATTTGTGACAGAACCTGCGCAAAACATGATAAGCTAACAGCCGTTCTCATTTGAAAGTGATATGAACGCAACATTAAAAATTGTATCAAATGTACGATAAATCGAGGCAAATTTATTTATTCATTTTAAAGTTAACTATTTACCGATTCACCAACGCCGTCTTGCCGACGGCTACATCGCCGATGACAATTACTTTGCAGATCCTGAGAGTCAAGCTTTTGCTGTCGCAGGTTCTTTTGATCAGGCCGCCAAAATCGGTCACCGTGTATGGAGTCAGTTCGGACGAGAACGACGGCGGCCAACTGGTAATCTATCATCGAAATTTACGTGCTGTATCAGAAAGAAAAGGAAATCCACCTGTCCGTCGGCGTTTTACCTGCCTCAACGAGTTCTCTCACCTGTCTCTCACCGTGGGCTTTCTCCTTCATCATTTTGTAAACGGCAGAGCGCGTTTCTAGCATTGCTCCGTCGAATTTAACCGGAGCGTCCGACGAATTTATCACTCGTTTTCTTCGTGCGCGCTGTACGTAATTAAGTACTTGATTAATTAATTCATTAATTAATCATTTTACGAGAGTTTACTCGTCCCGACTTACATTCTGTCGATCTTGAACGCCGCGTTGAATTGTGCGGCTTTGCACACAATATTGGCTCGCGCCCGAATGAGTAATCCCGCGGCAAAACAAAAACATCGGTTGCTGCGGCAGGTGTTCGTTCGTGACACGTTACCCGAGAGTCTCATACGGGTATGATTGTCAAAAGCGACTGACAGCGTCCTCGATTCGTTGATATTCGATTTCGTAAATCTTCTTTGTCCCGCAAGATATTGCAAGATATTTAAGAATAACATTAATCGTTATGCATTTTCCCTTTTGCTTTTCTTTACTTTACAACGATAACTCTGTACATTTCTTATTTCAATCTCGTTCGTGTCAAATATCGATAAGTATATTTTACAGAGAATGATATTTATAAATAATTTTTCTGGCTCTATGTTCTTCCGGAATTTATTTTAGAGTACCTGACTTGTTGATATCGCTCCGATTTATTAATTGAACCAGTTAAATTCTTAATAATAAAAAAATGTTAAAATTTAAATTTAAAATTTCCTATGTTAAAAAATAATTATATACCCAAAGAGAGAATTTCTGAGAAAAGGCTTATTTCAAAATTCCCGCGCCGGCGTGCATTGTGGATATTTTCGCTTCATTCGTCAACGACTAATGTAGGCGATAGGCCTATTTGTTTTATCTGCACTGTTGAACTGGTGCAACAAGTTGAAGTGAGAAAATCTATGTTTGTCTCACTTTAACTTAATGCACCAGTTCAGCAGTGCAGACAAAACGAACAGGCCTCATGTTCCAATATTCACTGCCAGCACTGAAAATCTATAATATATGTGACACAAACTATGTATTTTCAGTACTGGCAGTGAATTTTGGAACACAGCTCTTGTTGCGGTATGATGGTGAATCAGTGTTGCGATATTGGGCTACGTTCAGAAAACACAACATCAGTTACACAACAATTGAGTAATTCGTCAACGTTATTGATCTGAATGTAAGAATCTAACAATAAGGAGGACCAATAGTTACTAATCGATCAGTGAGCGCCTTCTTTTCTGAACTCAACCATTGGTGACGTTTTATGTGCATATGCGACGAAATTGGAGAAAATCCAGTAACGTGCACATATGAGTGGCAGTTTTGACGGGATGCGACCGGCAGAGAGGCGATGGGGTAATAAATTAATATGCCGATGTTTATGCATGCTAGATAATTATGATGTCATATATATAATAATATTATATATTAAAAATTTTAAGTTTTCAGAGTCTATATATATATATATATGTATAGACTCCAAAAAATATTTTTCAGTAATGTTATGGGGCACAACAATATCCCCATATTATTTGCTTAGATATTGGTGTGGTGCCGAATATGGCCGTGTTCCAAAATTCACTGCCAGTACTGAAAATATATAGTTTGTGTCACGCAAACTATAACTTTTCAGCGGTGGCAGTGAATTTTGGAACACGACATATATCGCGCATGCGTGGAAAGCGTCTCCTATGGGTGCGTTCTGTTCACGCAATGCGCGCATTTATCTATAGTTTATGTCACGTATACTATAAAAAATGCTTATATGCGTGCAACGGAACGCACCCTATATTACATCACTGGCACTGAGTTGGCGGTGAGTTGATCGTGCATAAACTTCTTCTGCGTCGCTTTTTGAAACGGGTCGCTCTTTTGGGATAAAATGGCTCCGAAACCCACGGAAAAAGCAGGTTCGTAGCGAAAGTGTTTGCAGCATTTGCATTTTTTGATGAATCAAATATTTTTCGGAATAAGGTCCAGTATATAATTATCTAACTTATAGTCATATTCATAGTCAGGCCTTATATTTAAGACTTCTTTAAGTTTACCTTCAAATGGTCTGTAGTTAATAAAATATAATCCGTGCAGCATCTAAAGATGGATATAAGGAAGCCTCAAATATAAGGCCCGACTATGAATACGGGTATTAATTTCGCAATGGGAAAGAAAGGTTGATGTTGGCATAACGAATACGGCATGCACGCGATACCCACGTGGTCCATGTGTGTCTGTGCACGATCATTAGAACACATACTTGTATATTATATTTATAGCAAAAACAATTACAAAATAATCATTGTAACTTTACGTTCAACTTCTTGAAAAATGAAATGTTTAAAACACCAAAGTTAATGGTATTTCATTTTCAATATTTATATGTCCGTGTCTTAATCTCCAAAGTATGACAAGATCAAAAATTGAAGCTATAGATCTTATTGGTTTATATTTTTATGAATAATATGTACGAATGGCAAATATATTCTTAGAATACTTGCCTTATAAATTTAATGATTATGCATTATATCTAAAATATAGGCAAGCCTGCTGAGAAGAAAACAGAAAACAAGACTGAGAAGAAGCCAGCTACCCCAGTTACTAGTGGTAAGGTGACAAAGACTGCGGTTAAGCCTGCTGCTGCAAAGAAACCAGCCGCTTCTAAGCCAGCCACAGCCATCAAATCTGCAGCCAAGCCTGTAGCTAAAACTGTTCTTAAGCTTGCTAGCAAGCCATTGATTAGCAAGCCTAAAAAAAATGTATCAGCCACCAAGAAGACTCCTAAAGGTGAAAAGTCACCAGCTCCTCTTCAAAAAGCTCTTAAGGCACAGAAAAAGGTAATTAAATTAATTATTATAAATTGAAAACAATATATATGTGTACACATATATCACGTCATGTATGAATATTATATTATATATAAATTGACAACAAATAATTAAAAATTACTTTATTCCAATATCAAAAAATACATGATGAAGTTATATTTGGGAATCTCTTTGAATTTTCATGAGAATACTATTCAAATTACTGAAAGAATAAAGTATATTAAATATGTATCACTGCATATTTCATATAGATGCTGACAAACATGCATATTTGTATTTTGTAGATTTTGAAAGGAGTACATGGCTCAAGAGTGAGGAAAATCAGGACATCGGTTCATTTTCATAGACCCAAAACACAAAGACCCTCAAGGACACCTAAATACTTACGAAAATCAGTATCAAATAGGAACCGGTAAGAATTGTATTTCTGAAGAACATTTTGTTTGGATCTTAAATCTATATACTTAGAATTTTTTTCTGAGCTTTATTTCAATGCAATTTGTTTTTAGTATGGATGCTTTCAATATCATCAAATATCCTTTGACAACGGAAGCAGCGATGAAAAAAATTGAAGACAACAACACCTTAGTCTTCATAGTTCATATGCGGTCTAATAAATATCACATTAAAGCGTCGATCAAGAAGCTGTATGACGTTGATGTAGCTAAAGTTAATACTCTCATCAGGCCAGATGGGAGGAAAAAAGCTTACGTGCGTTTAACGCGCGATTACGACGCTTTGGACGTCGCAAACAAGATCGGTATCATATGAATGTGCCTCTCTTGTAAAACAAAATCTGTATTGATAATAAAGTATCATTACGGTAGATCGGGCTTTTTAATCCATTGTTCCGCAAACCTTTGCTTCAGCATTAAAAAAAGTACATCCTATCTTTTAAGATCAAGATTATTCTTAGGTTGAATCTGCAAAATTGTAAGTCTGCATTTACCAACCGGAAAAATGTATCAATTATTGATACTTTCATGCATCAATGATGTAGTTTGTATAATTTTTATAAATAATTTTCCTGGGTACCTATTATGGAACTTTTCACGATTCCGTTCGGAAACGCGAGATTCTGACTGGCCAGTTTCCGATCACGGTTCCACTTATGCGTTTATGCTATTATGGGCAAGAGCACAGGCTTTTGCATAACACAATACATAACACATAAGAGAATAAACCAATTAGTTTTCTTCATTTCCCTCCTCAGGACAAAAATGAAGAACTCTGATTGGTTGATTCTCTTATGCGTTGTATATTATGCGTTATGCAGAAGTCTGTGCTCTGGCTAAAGGCTTATTCAGACAAACTTGTAAAATTATAAAACTTGACTAATTATGATCCGTGTAGTAAAAAAATATTTTTTGTTTTAAACATACGATTAGTAAATTTCCTTATGCATATGCGTTACGCGCTTATGCAAGTTTGGATAGACTCTTAGGGTTCGAAGTGGAATCTGCTTTTCCCATGTAGTCGGAATTAAGTGAGACGAGAGGAACGAGTGGATTCATCAATCCACTCGATCAATGATTTCGACCAATCTCAGTGCAAGGAAAATTACTAGACTTATATACACAACCTAACTTAACGAAATTTAAGATTGAAAGACGTTGTTATATTCAATGGCTGCGTTCAGTAGAACAAAATGCTCAGTGAGCGCTTAGTGATTATTGTCTATGATTGGAGCATTCTTTTAGATTCTTCATAGACCCAGAAATATTTACCAATCAGGAGCGAGAATCATTAAGCACTCACTGATTACTTTGTTCTGCTGAACGCAGCCATTAAGAAGCCGAAGAAGAAGATTGAAAGGGGTATTTTGTTCGCCTTCGTGGCGGTTAGATGTGGTTCCTGTAACTATGCATATTTTAGTAGAAATTTCTTATTTAATACATATATCAATCGATCAGTGTAAATTATCACATTGAAGTACTTATAAGTCATGAAATATTAATAATAATGCACTATTAAAACAAGATTAAATTTAATTTTTAATAACAATTTTCATAAAATATATGCAATAAAAAAACATGGATTTTGAACTCTGTATTTTTCGCTAAGGTCAATATTCATAAATAAATATTCATAGTTCGATCTCATATTTAAGATTGTCTTAAGTTCATCCTCAGATGCTGTACGGATCTTTGTATTGGCTACAAGTGAAAATGATCTTAACACGATTTCAAATATAATATCCAATTATGAATATCAGCCATAGTTTAATTAATGTCTTCAGTTATGTTTTTTTAAACAACTCAATTCAATTTTTTAAACTATCTCAATTCAATAAATATTTTTACTTTCAGTTCTAAAGGAATGCACACTAGTCTTCTGCAAGGAGGAAAATGTGGTCTTAACTCTTCTATAAGGTAGCGTGCTAAATCCCGAGATAATCGATACATGCCTATAAATTGCTCTTTAGGAAGAACGAATGGATCGGATATATCTCTAATTGTTCGTCTCATTATTTGATTTGCACGTAATACAGCAAGGCGTTACCTTTCTCTCTCCCGACGTATTACGGCCAACTGCAATATTTACATAAAAGAAAACAAATATATGCATAAATGCTGTGAAATAAACAAATAATATATATATCAGGTGTAGTAAAAAGAAATCCATTATTTTTGCATGAAATTGAAGGCTTTAATTACCATAGTTAGAATGATCCGATTTAGATCAAATATGCGCCGTTTTGTTCGATAACTTGTTGCCATTTTGAAGGTAATTTCATTATGCCTCTCTCATAGAAGCCCTCGTCCCTATTGGCAAAAAATTGAGACAGTCGATTTTCACAAGCCTCTCTTGAAGCGAATTTTTCACCAGCAAAATTGTTCGCCATGGACAGGAACAGATGGTAATCACTTGGTGCCAGGTCCAGACTATAAGGTGGATGCACAAGAACCTCCCAACCAAGCTCTCGGAGCTTCTGGCGAGTCACTATCGATGTGTGTAGCCTGGCGTTGTCCTGATGGAACACAATTCCTCTCCTATTGGTCAAAGCTGGCCGCTTCTGGGCGATTGCTTCCTTCAGACGGTCCAATTGTTGACAGTACAGTTCCGAGTTAAGAGTTTTGCCGTAGGAGAACAGCTCATAGTAGATAATTCCCTGCCAATCCCACCAAATATACAGCAAAACTTTCCTGGCCGTCAATCCTGGCTTGGCCACCGTTTCCGCCGGTTCACCGCGATTCGACTACGACCGTTTTCGCTTGACGTTGTCGTAAGTGATCCACTTTTCATCACCAGTAACCAACCGCTTCAGAAATGGGTCGATTTTGTTGCGATTCGCAGATGGAAATTCGGTCCATGAGGTTTTTTTGCGTTAACTCGTGTGGCCCCCATACATCGAGCTTCTTTTTGTATCCAGCCTTATTCAAATGGTTCCAAACGGTTTTTTGTGCAATCTTTAGCTCTTGGGCAATCGAAACAGTGCTTACATGACGGTCGGACTCGACAATGTCCATGATTTTATCGATATTTTCGACAATTGGCCTTCCAATGCGTGGTGCATCTTTGACATCGAAATTACCGGAACGGAATCGACGAAACCAAAATTGCGCGTGATTGGCTGTTACAGTATCAGGACCATAAACACTATTCATATTTTCAGCCGCCTGGCTTGCGTTTTCGCCTTTATCGAAGAAAAACTGTAAAATATAGCGTATTTTCTCTTTGCTAGTGTCCATCTTTGACGCGCGCTCAAACAAAACTGAGTCAACTAATCACAAAACTGCCAGAAAAGTTTTTTTAGTATGAAATCTCATCTTTCTAACGCCATCTAGTGGAACCCGATCGGACTTATACAACGCGAGATACAGATAACTAAAGCCATCTATTGGAAAAATAATGGATTTCTTTTTACTACACCTGATATATATTATAATTATAACGATATCTATGTATAGTTTTTTCATTATTAAATAAGTAATGAAATAATATATAATTATGCTTAAACAATTATAAACAATTCTGATACTTACCATTGTCACGACTTACTAATTAAGAAAAAGGCGCAAGGGTACTCGTATGTTCGGAAACATCCCTCGGGTGAACTCATTACGTTGGAGTAAAAGAAATATTAGAATAAGATACAGAGAAGAGAGAGCACCCGGGTGACGTTTCCGAACGCACCTCTAGTTATGCCTGCATTTCGTACTTTTTTTAACGATATTTCGGTCGGAATTGACTTTCCGCTTCCTCACGAGGTGTCGGAAAGTTTCCGAATTGATTCGGAAAAGGAGGAGGGTCAATAAGGCCGGTTTTTGGGCCCACCTCCGATTGGTCTCAAAGTACGTCATTTTACTCATCTAAGTGGTCCTCATTACATACTGTAAGGATTCTTCCTAATAATGATTTAATTCAGAGAAATAAGCATTTTTACATTCCCATTTTACATGGGTTTTCGTACCTTCGATCAAATGATGCTGGGTTTCATATTGTTAACATTGCTCACGCAAGATCATACTTTCCCAAAAATTGCGTATATATATGCACTACAACATATGTCAGAGCCATCATTTTTCTCGAGGTACTTCGCCTTTAAAATACACTTTTTTTGCACACTTTATTACGCTTGCGTCCGCAAAAGAAGAACACATCCTTTATCTCAAAGAGAATTCCTTCAAAAAAACATCAAAACAGATGAAGATCAACCAAAACTGATGGTTAATGAGACAAAAAAATATCGTTCATGTGTGACTGCGTCTGCATCAGTGAGGGCCGCTGGCGAAGCAAATCGGCCACGACGGCAGTAGTTCACGCGGCCGCGCTGCTAACAAAGGAAGCTTAAACTCTCATTTCGCCAAAGTATCGCAAACGTAAGCTTCGTCGTGACGGAACTATCATGCGTGAAAACTTTCCCCCGCTCTCTCTCTCTCTCTCTCTCCCCCCTCTCCCTCTCCCTATCCCTCTCCCTCTCCCTCTCCCTCTCCCTCTCACTCTCCCTCTCTCTCTCCCTCTCTCTCTCCCTCTCTCTCTCTCTCTCTCTCACTCTCTTTCTCTCTCTCTTTGCGCTCCCTCGAAGTGACCGGTTTCTGATTGTCTAATCTTTCTTCGCATGCATTCGTGAATATTCTCATAGATATCGATACCCCCGCATTTTCGCGATTTTTCAGACACGATCGCGAAAAGCACCGTAAAAATCCATTGGACGAGTCGATAAATTTTCACACAGTTCTTGCTCTTCGCCGATCGAGTTTATAAAGTCCGTTTCGCAGCAGGTAAAAAGTTTCCACCGATGTCGACGTAAAACATTCGTTAATTGACGCAAATATCGCTGCTCTCATACAAATATCGACCGCGTTGTGAAAGTGTGGCGAAAGTGTAGCAATCAACGTGGGACGCGCTGCAAGATGGATGTTGCGCGACATGAAGAGCGGTAGCGGACATGGGCGGACATTGGTGGATCTGGTTGGATGCAACGGGACATCATCAATATCATCATCGGTGAGCGTTTGACTCAATGCTCACAGAGAGCTCTTTTATTATTACATTGTGCATGCCGCAAATTTGCATTGACTATTGTAGTGAAAAATATATTCCATGAATTATTGCCATATATTATTGCCATATATTGTTGCCATATATTGTTGCCATATACTGTTGCCATATATTGTTGCTATATATTATTGCCACATATTGCCATGTAATATCGCCATATATTATGGCCACTTAAAACCGCGCGAGCAATCAAGAAAACTAAATTTGCCGATAATCGCAAAGGCGCGCGGCAGACGTCATGGACGGATGCCAACAACCTATGTCAGAGCTGCCCGATAACAATGCTATTGCTGCAATTTAACTTTAAACCTCAGCGGCCTC